ATAAAGAGAGAGAAGCATTCTTGCCCATGCGTTGTTGTTTCCCTTCTACTGTCCATTCCTCTCTCGCAGAGTGCAGACTGAGAAAAGACAAGATTAATTTAGGACAGCCAAAGTGGGGACAGGGAAACCTTATTTGTCCTCTTTAGTAGCTTAGCACTTCCCTTGAATACCTACAATCGACAAAATTGGAGACATAGGAACGAGGGACAGAAAGAAAACAAAAGAGATGGTATAAGGGAACTCAGCCGCTGCAGGGGAGGAGGTCCCTTCTTGCAACGAACGTGGCGATTTTGCGAAAGGCTGAAAGTTAATGGTCTACCTGCTTTAGTCGGGGCCCCTCTACTAAGTCATTTTGGCTGGGCTATTCAAGTGGCTGGCCTGCAACCCAACCATTTGGTCTCTGACACTGCTCCTGCCTGTCCGAAACGTGTTGCCTTGCCTTTTGCTTGCGGCCTCTTTGCTGCCGTTGCATTTCGACCCACAGTGTGCCATTGTGCGAAGCTGCACGCCCGCTCTCCCATCAGAAATCGCGCGAGTCGCATAGATGAGCTTGAAAAGAAAACCCTAGACACTTCACCGTAAACCCTACACGTGAAACCCTAAATGCTCCACAAGGGGCGGGTCCCTATAGGGTTTCAGGTTTGTAGTCCCCACACCTTGAAGCCTTATAGGGTTTATTGTTCAACCATGAACCCCAGACCTTTCAGATTCACCGTGTATTTAACAACAAGAATGTTTCACAGTAATTTTCATTCGAGCACCTGGGTATATCGTTGTTATTCCGTTTTGCGGGGCGTTCGCGTGCACGGGGCATGAACGGGCATGAACTCGCATGCACGGGCATGAATTCAAAAAATGAAGTATCTGCTCACAGTATTCTCGTGATACCATGTCCGAATGTTTCATAATCTTTTTAAAAAACAACCTATCCCAAGAATAGGTTCCCACGGCGTCCTCTCCCCTAGAGCTTAGGGGTAGGTCTTTGGGGTTCAGTGCGAAAGAAACACACGGTGTAGTCTCTCTGTTTCGCCTCTAGGGAGGTAGGTAGGCTCTTGTTTTATTATATTTCTTGTTTTTCGGGCTTAGGGTTTAGGGTTAGGGTTTAGTGTTGGGGTTTTGAAGCAGTCTTCAGAGGAGCGTGATGGCCCTATTCGATAACTCTGTTAATCGTAGCAGTAGTATAGGCTAGTATGAAACAAAGAAAGAGGTCAAATCATACATAAAGGTTCCTGCCTCATATATATATACCTAATCCGCGGCCGGAGCCCACAGTGCCTTGGCCCCCCTTGGAGGGGGTCGGCGGCACTGGCGGTAGCCATTAAATAAGTATGTACATATTTACCCATTTGCATGTGTACATATATATATATGTATATATATATACATACATAAATAAATATATACATATATATACACACACACGTTCAAAAACACGAACACAAACTACAACTCCAACAATCACAAACAAAACGCACAAACACAAGCACGAGCACAACCGCAAACGCAAATGCGCAAACACACCACGCGCGCACACACACACACACACACCCACTGACTGACTGACTGACTGCCTGCCTGCCTGACTGGCTGACTGACACAGTGACTGGCTGGTTGGCTGACTGACCGACCGACTGACACTAGCAAGCCCAGCCCCTGCGTAATCCCTGCGTAACCCGGCGTTACCCAAGACCGGCAAGTTAAACCGGGGAGAACGGAGCTTAGGCCTATTTCAGAACCACTTGAACCACTTAGTTGCTTGTTAAGGAAGGGTTGAGGGCTCGGGCTTGGGGCTTGGGAAGGTCTAAGGCGCCTCGGCTTCAGAGAAGCAGTAGCCCTCCTGCCAGCTGTTCAGCGCTCACAGATTACATGAGTCGGTTTCATGTTTCCGGACTCTCTGAACCGGTGTCCTTATCTATGGAAGACTACTTGAGATCTCAGGGCATCCAGTTGACATGTCATCGGAGACAAGGCACCTTCAACTCCAAAAGCAAAACCTGAACACTCATGCCGCAATGGCGAGAACTAAGCCTTGAACCGTAAGTCACTGGTCCTGACTGTACATAATATCTGTATAATATATATATATATAAAGAGAGAGAGAGAGAGGGAGAGAGAGAGAGAGACCCCCAATGGTTATCTCTGTTCACTTCGCACCACCCAACCCTCAACCCTGAACCTCCTGCACCCGCGAGTAGGAGTGCATCTGGAGTTGAGGTTCAAAAGCTTTGGGTCTAAGTAGGGGAGAAGGGCTGAGGTTTAAGTTTCGGATGGCTGAGTGAGGGTTTAGGGCTTGGGCTCATGCTGTCCTAAACTCTAAGCCCTAAGCCGATGCCACATCTGTGACGTCTCTTTAGGCTCGGGTCCACAACACGGGGTTTTGGAACTTAGGGCTTCGCCCCCGAAAGCCGAGACCCTAAACCCCCCAAGCCCTTAACCTGCACCCCCGATAACCCCTAATCCCTGCACTCTGAACTCTAGACCCTAAACCCTAAACCCTACACTCCTACAAACCCTAAACCCTACAGCTCAATAAACCCTAAACCGTCTTGGTAAAAATAAGAAGCTCCGGCCTTCATCAGAAAGCCCACGAAGTCTGCCTCACTGACGAAGCCTGGCTAAACGGTTTAAGGGTTTAGTGTCTAGGGTTTAAAGGCTATAGTGGGCGTGCGTGGGGGGGCTATGCAAAAACGGTGAGGTCAACAGCTGGGCCATGTTGGGTGCTGACACAGGCTCCCCAAAGCCCAAGCCCTACTGCTTGCAGCATGAGGAAGATGCACAGCAATTGCTAAAGTTGGATGGTTATGTGTATTGCAATCACTCCGCTTATGAACCTACTTATAGGTATCCGAGTGCCCAAGCAGCACAACAAAAGCCACTGGCCCAAGTGCAACGGCTCCGCAATCGAGAGTTGGGGTCTTCTGCATTGAGGGAGGCCCGGCCTATGCCGCCGGAGTCCATGCATTGGACCGCTTCGTACAGACTGCCATACCGAGAGACCAAGTACCTGAGGCTAGGTTTGCCTATAGGTTGCCTAATGTAGAGGAATGCAAGTTTTTGCTTCATTGGCTTTGGACGGCTTTCGTTTTCAAGCAGAAGACAAAGGGTCTGAGAACGAGCTTGTATAGGTTTTTGATGATAAGGCTGATATGGCACAGGGCTTACCGCCAACCTCACGCCAAAAGCGAGGATGTTTGCCAGCCAGCGCACCGTTGCAGCGTGGTGGCACGGCTGTACTGGTCCCCACCAAGCACCTGGAAATGAAGGCACAGCTTACCAACGCCAAACCGCGCCTAGGCAGATTTTTGAGGGTTCAGGGTCTGGAAAATGGCAGAAACAATCTAAACTCTGAACCCTCACCCGTCTGCCCTGGAGGAGGGCCACATGCTCAAAGTGAGACATGGCAGCAACCTTCGGCTGCCACATGATGACTCAAGCCCCCTAAACCCTAAAACCTACAACCCTCATTCCCGCCCAGCGGGACCCAAAGCGTTGGGTCGAAATTCCGGGTTCAGTGGGCTGAGCCCCAATGGTTTCTTTAGGGTTTAGGGTTTAGGGTTGGGACTTTCTGCTATAGAACATACAGCTTCAGCCAACAGGCGGGAAAGGGATCCCAATTTAGAACAAGCCCTCTCCCTGCCCCGAACCTGGCTTTAGGAGTTAGTGTTTCATTCCCCAGCAGCTGAGAAATTTGAAAAAGTTGGGTTTGTGAGGGGGAAACTCACCGGACCGGAAAGGAACAACGAGCACCCCAGGGCGGCCCAACTCAAGTCTTCGTAGCCCAGTAACCATATATCATAATACTGGTACCCTTTGATGGGTTGCTTACTTTATAAGGGAACCTTAACACAACAAAAGGAATAGGGTACACTGGGCTATCCTGAACCCTGAACCCCCAAAAGGGTAGTTGCTAGCAGGGATTATAAGGACAGAGGTGGCGATGAGTGCAGCTACACTGCCCTAGAAGCCTAGGTACTTCTGAAATCTTTATAAACCCGAAACCCTAAACCCTAGAATGTTTGCAACTTGCCGGGGGGGGGGGGGGGGGGGGGCACCCTGGGGCCTTCGTCTCTTAGGGAGCAACCTGACGCACGAGGGGCGCCTTGCTGCGAGGCATCCGCATGTCAGCTGGCAGACCTGTCGGCAAAGGGTGTAGGGTTTCGGGCTTAAATAAGGGTTTAGGAATAGGGCTTAGGGTTTAGGGCTACTTGGACGTTCATGGGTAGCTCTAAGTGGGTTATAAGTGGGGTAACTGTACATTATAGCTGGTGTTCACCTTTCACCTTTTCTCGGGCACGTTTAACCCCAGTTAGAACTACTTGTTAAAACCTTCGAGTATGGTGCATAGGAGGGGGACTCTTATCTTCATGGCCCTTGTTTCGGAGGAGTACCCCACAATAAAGGGCCCGGAGAGCCCCCCTCCGCCACCGTGCAGACTTAAGCTACAATTGAGTGATGACAACGCGGCCCTCCAAATGGTTGAACCTAAACACTCGAAACCAGAGGTCAGCAAAATCTGAGCCTAACCTCAACCTTCCGCTCTCCAAAGCCCAAACCCAGGACACATCCTGAACTCGTAGAGCCCCTAAATTGGGGATTTCCAACACTAGGGGTAACCCCGTAACCCTTTTTTTTCGGAATCCCCCCAGATAAGGCAGTAACCATATTAGAGTAAGGGCGCCCTTGTTTGGGTTGCTTACTTTATAAGAGAACCTAAAACAAAAAAAAGGGTAAAGGGTGCCACTGGGCCAGCGTAAACCCTAAACCCGAAACCCTCCAGGCCCCCGAGCCGTGCTTGCGGAGAAAAGCTGCGAGTCGTTCCTGCAAGGCGCCGCTCTGGGACTTCTCCTGGCATCTGCTGCTTCAATTCTGACGAGGCAAACGCGACGCGGCTACAACTGGCTAGGACACATGCTCCTGACCCTCAGAAGCCTCCAACCCAAAATTCTCAAGGCTCAGCCCTTAACCTTGCACCCTAAACCCTAAACCCGAAACCCGAAACCCTAGACCCTAAACCCTATATAAACCCTGCTTGTTTTGGAAGGCCTCTTCAACACCGACTTGGCATTGGCCCGGGCAGTCTTAGCCAGCGGCTTGGCTCTGGGAATCTGCTTGCTGGGCTTCTTTGGTCTACCCCATTCGCAAGCTCGGCTGTCGCCTCCAGAGGAAGGGAATCCCCAAGTTACCACAGACCCGTCAGAACGGACCGCAGCAAAGGCGCCACAAGTCGCCTGAAGGGAGACAACGTCCTTCAACTGTCCCTGCACCGCGTCACTGTCGCCGCCCCAGTCAGCTTGCCCCCAAGTCACCACCGACCCATCCCCTCGAAGCGCGGCAAAAGCGTTCTCAGTTGCTTGTATGTTTCTGACGTCTATCAGCTGGGCCTGCACAGCCTTGCTTGCTGCCTGCTTGAAGTCTTGGTCCCATGTCACAACAGACCCGTCTGAACGGATTGCGGCGTAAGGCCCCCACGCCGATGCCGCTTGCAGTCGGACAACGTTCCTTAGTCCACTGCTAAGCCATTTTGGGATAGAGTGACCCCAAAGTCGCACCGTTCCATCCGGCTGAACCACAGCGATGGCCTTGTCAAGGCGCATCATACCAGCTGCACCAGCACCGTCTGGGACCAGCATGCTCCCGTGGCCGCTGACTGACTCAAAGCCAAGCGCCAAGTGCCCGTCTTTTGTGGCAGCAGCCCAATAATATTCAGCAGCCTGGAAGAAATCAATGCTGTCAAGCCCAGTAGATTGCTCACCTAGATCATCTCCCGTCAGGCCCCAGAACACAATCCGGCCGCCGGCTTTGATGGCTGCAAAGCCCCACCCGGCGTTGTAGACCTGTAGAATGTCTTGCAAGCTGTTGCGAACTTTCGAGCTGTCCCCCCCAAAGGCACGCTGGCCCCATGTCACCACCTGTCGCCCCGTTCGTATGGCTGCAAAAGCCCCGTTGGTTGCTTGGATTTGCTGCACATCCTGCAGCTGATCTCTCACTGCACCGCAATCGCCACCTGACCAGGGGTCTCCCCAGGTTACCACGGATCCGTCCGCCTTGATTGCGGCAAAGGCTCTGAGGTTGGCTTGGATCTGGCAGACACTGTGGAGCTGGGCTTGTACCATGGAACTGTCACCCCCACTATCCTGCCTCCCCCAGGTTACAACAGAACCATCAGCCAAGAGAGCAGCGAAGGCAAACGCGGATGACTGGATCTGTTGCACATTCTGCAGCTGATGCTGAACTGCACTGCAATCACCGCCGGCGTGCGGGGCTCCCCACGCCACTACGGTGCCACTGCTAAGGATCGCTGCAAATGCATGCTTCGTTGCTGCGATCACCACGTCCTGAACGACAGCCGTGATGACATCGTTAGCTTGCACGCCTGCTTGCTGGAGTGTATCTGATGGCAGCAGGACTGCGCCTGAGCTGCTAACGAGTTTCCCGAGGCTCTTGCTGACCTCCTCCTGGGCCATTTGGCGCAGCTCTTCAATCGTGGCGAGCCACGGCAGAACGATGGTAGTCTGCTCACCACTCAGCAAAGCCACGTGCACGGTAACTGATGACATGGCTGTGAGAGCCCTGTGCGTGTTCAAAGGTTCCTCAGCCACATAAAGGGGTCTAGTCTAGTTATAAAACTCGGTCTTTAGCACCAACTTGAACATCTGATCTGTATCTCATCCGAAAACCTGCCCTGGTGCTTTGGGTCATTTGTTCGTATTATTCAACGGGGGATTTTCTGTAGTTGTTCATTAAGACGATATCATAGGGGACGACAGCAAACAGGCAACATCGGAGCCGCATCCATGCCTCTACAGCCACAAATGCATTGGGTCATTTTTTCACAATTTACTTGTACAAGGCGGCCTCAATATTTAGGGTTTAGGGTTCCTAAACCCTAAACCCTAAACCCTAAACCCTAAACCCTAAACCACATTCTAGAGAAGTGACCATGTGGCGTCACTGCCTGGTCAGAAGCCATGATCAGCCATAAGCCTTCCCATGTCTACTCCAAGCACTCGGATGTTGAGCGATACCTGGGGTTTAGGGTTTAGGGTTTAGGGTTTAGGGTTTAGGGCTCAGGGTTCAGGGTTTAGGGTTTAGGGTAAACTGCAGCAGAACAACGGCTGCCGATTCGTGCCTGGATGGCTGACGTGCACTACTTGCTGCTAAAATTTCCAGATTTAGGGCCTTGCTTTGGAGACCCAAAGCCCTCAAGGGTTTGGGGTTTAGGGTTTGGGGTTCCCTAACCCTAACCCTAAACCCTAAAGCCTCAACCAAGGAACGGTGGAAGTTCATGGACTGGGTCTAGGCTTCACGATGGGAACTTTCGACTCTTGGAAAGCACCTCAAATTTAGGGTTTAGGGTTTAGGGTCTGGGGTTTCTTGGGGAGGCTTAGAGGGGCTTGAGGGGGGTTTAGGGGGTTCAGGAGGTCTAGGACGTCGAGGAGGTTTAGGGGGTTTAGGGTTGAGGGTTTAATTAGGGCTTAGGTCAGGACTTGCAAGTACTGTTTCATGGGTGGCCCAACCCGAACCCCCCCCTGAACTCAAAACCCCTTAAACCCCAAACCCTCCCTTACTATGTAAATTGAAACCCTGATGGCATGGGTGGGCAATTATCGCTCCTTGGTGGGCAATTCTTATTTCTTGGGGCATAGGTTGTTTTGGCATAGGGTTTAGGGCCTAGGGTTCGGGCTTAGGGTTGAGAGCCTAGGGTTTAGGGGCTATGGTTTGCGGCCTAGGTTCTGGCCTAGGGTTTAAGCGGGCCTATACTGAGCCCTATAGGTTTCAGGTGCACAGTGGGCCTTCCAATTTTGCTACTGGGCTTTGGGTTTGAGAGTTTAGGTCCTACTGGGAACGGATACAGCTTGGTGGGTGGAAGTTCTCCTGTTTCCAAACACACTGCTTGACTAGTGAGCGCTTGGACTTGAGATGCTGAAACCCTCAACCCTAAACACCCTAAACCCCCCTAAACCCTAAAGCCTAAACCCTAAACCCTAAACCCTAAACCCCCACAACCTGGACCAAGCGCGCAGCGCCCTGGAAGGCCTCGGCTGAGGTTTGGAGCTTGGGCTTTAGGGGGGAAAGGGTTTAGGGTTTAGGGTTTAAGGGTTTAGGGGTTTAGGGGTTTAGGGGTTTAGGGTTCAGGATTTAGGGCCTTTGGGTGTTTGGGTGTTAGGGGGTTGGGGGGGGGGGGGGGGGGGGGGGGGGGGGGGGGGGGGGGGTTGTAGGATTTAGGGCTTCAGGGGCTTAGGCGCTTAGGGTGGAGGAGTGGAAGCATTCACAGCATCAGGGTGGGGAGGGTTTTATAGTCTAAGGGTTGCGGGCTGTAAGGGAGCTCACGGGCTTGGAGCTTGGGGGATATATGACTCAAGGTTGATGATGTAGAACCTCTGGAAACATCTTAGGAGTTTGGGGGACTTCGGGGTTTAGGGTTTGTGGTTGACGGCTGTACGGATGAGGGTTTTCGGGCTTTGGGTCAACCGGTGTGCCACCTTTATCCGACTCCCTGGCAGCAAGACGCATCAAGTAGGTTTCTCCTCAACTCTAAGCCCTTCAAGGCCCTTCAGGGTCCAGCGTCTTGTAGAAGTCCCTGTCACGATCGGCCCCCGAAACCGTTTCCCTGAACGCTGCAGACCCACGGAACTTTGGGAAGGCAAATCTCTCCACAGGGAAGCAAAATCCTGAACTGGACCTGACAGAATCCAAAGGGCTCGCAAGCAGTCACGTGGGCTGAGGAGGTCGTCCGCATCTGTGTCAAGCCTTGAGGATCGAGACACACATGCTTCGGGCAGGGGAGGGAGGGGGGGGGGGGGGGTTCTTTTGGCTTTTCTGTTTGGGTGTGGAGGGGTTGAAGGGGTTTTGGGGCTTCGGGCTTGGCTTGTGGGAACCTGTGCAGTCCAGGCAGGAACTCACAAGATGTAAAGAGCATATGTACATGCCTGCTATATGTATAAAATATATATATATATGTATATATATATATATGTTTACATGTGTACATATATATATATATATACATGTCTATATATATATATATATATATATGAATATATATCAACCCCCAACCCTAAACCCTACTCAGCCCCTGACAGCTTGAAGAGCTCCATGGCCCGGGAAGAGCCCTCCGCATCCACGTGGCTCAAGTGCAGCCGCACCTTAGCAGGACTCCAAGGATTTGCCGGGCAGGAGAGGGGGGGGGGGGGGTTTAGGGTTTGGGGTTTAGGGCTTAGGATTTAGGGCGTAGGGTTTAGCGTTTAGTGTGTCGGGTGTAGGCTGTAGGGTGTAGGGTGCCGGGTTTAGGGTTGAGGGTTTATAGGGTTTAGGGTTTAGGTGCGCAGGCTAAAGAAAAACTCTGCGGAAATCTCTTCTCGGTCGGCATCCCAGAAGCCCAAACCCCAGAAGGCCCTGCCTGAAGCCTATAAACAGTCAGTTGTCCGTGTGATGACCATCAGTGTGTGTCCGCACTTTTCCTGAGCATGCGACCAAACGAAGCAAAGCAATACACAGGTTGCTGCACAGGTCTAGGTCCAGGTTGTGGAGCAAGTTTACATCCATGTAGGGCTTAAGGGTCCCATATCGGGTGCCCTTAGGGTGTTACAGGTTTAGGGGCGAGGGTGGCTGGAGTGAGACGCAGCACGGCATTCTGTTCAGAAGCCTGCATGTGCTTATGGACGCACGGAGAGGGCCGCATGCCCAGCTCTGTCGATGAGACCGTTCTTCATTTTTTTGCTCTAGGCTTAGGATTACGGTTGAGTCATTGCGGGTTCCAAAACTGTAGCCTGATAGTTCCCTGAAGGTCTATGTACCTGGCTATGGTATGTTCATACAGTAGGCAACCCTATTTAGGACACAAACACTTACTTGGAGGTTCATGGGTAGTTACAAGATGTAAGAAGTAGGTAAATGAAGGGAAACTATACTTCTAACCTTAAACTTACTTAGCGTACTTCTAACCCTATTTCTGACTACCCATGAACCTCCAAGTATAGGGGCCCAAAAAAAAACAGGACTCTGCAAACGTGGTTTTGCCAGAATCTCTCGGACAAGGGGCCCTTATGCCCCAACAGTAGGACCCTGATATACATATACATATACATATACAAATACATATATATATATATCTATATCTATATCTATATATATATATATATATGTGCATCTGTGCTTTTTTGGCGCCCCGAAAAGTATACGGCCTCATTCAGAAGAGGCGGGACCGCGATTCTCTGAAGAAGGCGGCGGCGGTCGCTACTTGCCTCTGGATTTGGAAAAGAGTTAGGGTTTCGGGTTTAATTAGGGTTGGCTCAGGGTTTAGGGTTTAGGGTGAATGCTTAGAGTCTGGGGCAAACTGAAGGCTTGACCCTGCAGTGATCAGGGTTTCGGGGGCAGGTGCCGCTTGTCGCGTTGGACTTTACTTCGCGAAACAAGGACGGCTTTACATTCCCGGCTGATGACGGAGTTTCGAGTTTTAGGGAATTACCGATCGCAGACTGAGCAAAGCCACAAGAACACAATGAACGACTGTGAGCACAAAATCAGGAACATACAGCTATGTGCAGTATTGCGCATCATGACTTCTCGTTGCTGGCGAGTGAACGGAACATCACTAATTAGAACACGTGAGACATACGATATACTCTAAACCACAAACCCTAAACCCCAAACCCCACACCTATGGGGCCCTCTCTCAACCCAGCGCTGCCTTTCGGCGCGGCCTTTCGCTTTGGCTGCGGCTGCTCTGCATCTTGCGCCTGCGGCACCCAGGGCTCCTAACCCCTCAGCCGCCGAAAAGGACGTCAGACTGTGAGCTCTTGACTGCGTCAAAGCTTGGCACCTGCAGCTCAGCGACAGTGTCTTGCAGCTTCTTGCGATCCTGGGGAGCTTCTTGTGGGGGGTCCCTCTTCAGAGCTGAGGGTCTTGGGTTTAGGGGCCTTGTAAGAGTTGTTTCGTTTACCCTAAAACGTGGAAGAACACTCATATGGTAGGGCTTAAGGTTTTGGGCTTTGGGGGCTTAGGATTTCGGGCTTAGGGTTTAGTCTTGGCTTACTGCAGGGCCAACTTCCGGGTCTAAAAGGATTTGGGCTCCAGAGTTACCAGGAGATTTGGGACTATTCCCCAGACTCCTGGGAGGATCCAAACAATACTAGTATTGGAGCATTCTTAGGAAGCCTGAAGGGGATTTACTTTTTGGATCATCTGGGTTGGGGCTTTAGAGCTCTGGATTTGGGGCTGCAGGGTTTGGGGCTTAAAATATGGCTCCTTAGGGCTTCGGAATTTCGGAGGTTGGGGCTTCACCTGGGCATACAGCGATTATGGGGTATGTGGGGTTAGGTTTCCAGACGCTGGGTTTCCAACCCCAAGGCCCCAAACCCTAAACCCTAGCCCTAAACCCTAAACCCCAAACCCTAACGAGAACTGCTCCTCCAAGGCAGCTTTGTACTTCTCCTCAAGGGACTTCGCCCGCTCCTGCTGGGCTTTGTCTAGGGGTTGCACCTTGGACCCCTAGGGGTTTATAAAGGGCCATATTCGGAGTATATTGAGGAGAACCTTTAGGTACAACCTTATGGTTACGAGTCCTTGTCCCTTGACTTTCGGAAGCTCCGGGCAGCTAACATGCTAAGCCCGGCAAGTATTCCAGGGAGCTTTTGGATTTTGAGCTCATCGAAAGTTGAAGGGCTTTGAAGGGTTTCTAAGTCTAAGTGCTGACAAGGGATTGCCGGGCTTGTGGGTTGATGCACCTCGGGCTTACCGTGAGCAGACATCGGCATCAGAACTTCTGAGATCTGATCAGTTTGTACTTCCTGCGAGCACGCTCATCGTAAGGCATTGCAAACCTTAGCCCGCAAGCCCCATAAACCCAAGCCCCAATCATACACAACTTTTCCTAAACCCAGAAAACAGATACTTGCCTCGCGATTTTTTCAAGAACGTGGACGAAGCTGCAGGCATCAGGCTTCCCTAAAGCCCCACTTGACGGTTTTTTCGAGGCAGCTATAAGCAGGGTGATAAGTATCTTAAGTAAGATTAAACCGTGTTGTATCTATAGTTACCTAACCTTACAACCACAACTTAACACCACCCATGAACCTCCAAGCAAGCTTTCGTGGGCTCCTGCCTTCAACCCCTAAGCCATGTCCCCTAGGCCATACTAGCTTTGGAGCGTTTCGGGCAGAGGTGATCTGGAAAGGGGCTCTACTGGATCAACCCGAAAAGTGACCAGACACTCGGGAGCTGACGGCATGAGCTCATGAAAAGCCACTCCTTCAGCTTGTTCGTTCCATCCACCATCTTGGCGATCTCCCCGACAAAAGTCTGGCCCATCTCCTTCACCTGTCGGTCACGCTTGGACATCTCAATCATCGCAACCCTTCGAACGATGATGATGCATTGCTTGATGCAGTTGCTGCTGATGCTGACGGAGATTGAGGTCAGTACATCTCTATATATGTATGTATATTGTCAGCAGTCGACAACAATTCATTGCCTGCGAATTCGTTCCGCGCAGGGCGGACGAACCCTAGTCTTGATCAAGCACTTCAAATTGGCAGGCGTTTGCTGTTTAAGGTTGAAAGGCTGCATAGGTGCCACACCCCTAACAAGCCATGCCACCTTTGCAACGACAAGGGGGGGGGGGGGAGGACAACTGTTTATGATGCATACAGACATACGTACCTTTATAATCCTGGGCCAGTTCTAAACCCCGAAGCCCCAAAGCGCCAAACCTCAAAATGAAAATCTCAATCCTCAAGCACCCGTGACTGCTGCCGGAGACTCCAAGCCCTACACCACCCTGAGTCCTAAACAGCAAAGCCCCGAAGCTCGTAAACCCTAGACGCCCTGAAACCCTGCAAAACGCCCCAAAACTTAGGACCCTAAACCCTAAACCTGACTGGCACAGGCCACAACTCCAAAGCGCCTCGGCTCGAAGCTTAGTCTGCTCCTCCCGAAGTTGCTGCGGCAGGGCCTGCTGCCGAGCATTTGAGAGAGTCTCACTATTTGTAGCATTCCATATAAAATACACACGGATTTGTTTTTTTCTACTTATTTGCCACATATATATATGTATATGTATATGTATACATACGTATACATATATATATATATTATTTAGTTATTTATGTCTATGTTTCATTATTTATATGTATATGTTGATTTATTTATGTACTTCTTCATTTACTTACTTATGTTACATATGCATGTATATATATATATGTAATATACATACTTAGTAGCCAAGTAACCAGATTATAAGGGCACCCTTTTTTTGGTTGGCTACTTTATAAGGGAACCCAGAACCTAAAAAAGGGAAAGGGTACCAACCGGCTGCCAAGTTTTCTGACTCTTATGATCAAGACTACCAAGGTTCTTCTTAAGATGCGTAGTTATTCTTGATTTACGGTTGCTCCCATGTTTTGGGGGGCAAGGAGGTTCGGGTTGGCAGTGTTTTAGCGGTTTGGGGTACAGGGTTTGGGTGCTTTCCCTCTGCGAAGCCCTAAACCCTATGCCGAAAGGTTTTGGGACCTTAAAACCCGAGAACGTATATACATCCCTCGAACCGCGAAAGCCCTCCTAGACCCTTCAACCCTCACAAACCCTTGAAACCCTCTCAAACCCTCGAAAAGCCTCCTAAACCGAAAAAAAACCTCCTAAGCACTTAGAATCCTCCTGTAAGCCCTAACTTGCCATGCCTTCAGGGGTGCCAAGGCTGTCTCGACCGACTCGTTCGCCTGCGAGGCATCCGCGTCTCAGGGCGGCTTTAGAGGAGTAGGGTAGGGTTCAGGGGATTCTAAGTGCTTAGGAGATTTCTTTCGGTTAGGGTAGTAGGGTGCACTTGAAGAGATACCCTTTTGGGGTTTCAAGGCTTTGGGCTTCTTCGAGTTTCGGGTAATTAGGGCTTGTGGGTCTTAGAGCTTCGGGGCTTTAAGGGGTTTTAGGGCAGGGTTACTAGAGTTTAGGGTCTGAGGGCTCTACTTAAAGGTTTGGGGGTAGTTATAAGTAGGGTTATAACACTACATAAGGATACAACCGGTTAGAATTCTACTTACCCTATGTATAGCTGTACATATAGCTACCCAATAACCTCCAAGCAGGGTGTGGGGGTTGGCCTGTAAGCCCCCAGCATCCTACATCAACAGATCCTAGCCTTGCTTCCAACCTCTGTTTCGAGGACCTTGGCACCGCAGAGGGGGGGAGGCAGATGAGTTTCAATGAACGTATTGGTCCCAAGCGCGGCTTTGGTTCACATTTTGGGCTATCTATTGGATCACGGGACCAGGGTTACCTCTGCGCATTCCGCTTTGCCCGGGCTGTGGGAAAAGGACGTCTGAGCCCTTCATGCTCTGGCAGATTGTCCCTGACACGTGTCGGGGCAGGGAACGAGTAAGTTACTGCATCTGCCCAACAGGGAGGCTGGACAAGTCCTGGCGAAGTTCCTGCTAGGGTATTAAGTCGATGTAATGCCAAATCGGTTGTGGTTGTGTTTGTGTCTCTGCGTGCGTGCGTGCGTGTGTGCGTGCGAGCGTGCGTGCGCGCGTGCGTGCTGTGCTCGTGCGTGTCTCTGTCTCTCTCTGTGTGTCCGTACATCCCTCTGTGTGAAGAAATGGGCCAGAATTCACTGATTACGATGTTTTCCGGCCCCGTGCGATTCTCCGGCCTCCGGACTTGCTACCGGAGGCTGCGGATAAATCAATGAATCGAACCATCAAGAGGCTTCCTTATCAGAAAAGAACCACTCAAAAGCGACCCTAAACCCTAAACCCTAAACTCCAAACCCCAAACCCTAAACCCTAAACCCTAAACCCTTCAACTTAAATTTTACAAGGCGCCCCAAGAGAACCCCCAGCCTTCTGGCGAAGGGCGAGCCGCTGCATGGCCTTCTTCTCTGCCTTCTCACAGGGATTTCACGGCGGCTCTGAGGCATCTGCAAAGGTTTAGGGTTTAGGGTTTAGGTTTAGGGTTTAGGGTTTAGGGTTTAGGGTTTGGGGTTTGGGGTTTGGGGTTCAGGGTTCAGGGTTTAGGGTTTCGGGACAAAACACAGCAACAAGAGCAGCCTCCAGCACCTGCGCGTGCTGCAGCTTCACCTCCTGACCCAGTCAGCGGCGAAAGAGTTGGGGTCTGCTTGGAGGTTCAGTTGGGTAATTGTAAGTAGGGTTTATAAGTACCCTGAATCACGGGAAAAACCAGTTAATAATCATAGGTGCCCTACTTAAAGGAACCTGCAACTTCCACTACTTGGAGGTTCATAGGTAGTTACAAGCAGGGTTTCAAGTACCCTAAATCAGGTTACAGCCAGCTGTAATCATAGTTACATCACAGGACCGCCGCGGAGGGGGCCCAGGGGTGTGCAGGGGAGGGGGTTCCAAGGAAAACAAGCCGGGGCCAACCTTAGGAAAGAAAAAAAACACCGCGCCCACCAACAATTATGTCGCACGTCAATATCACGTACCATACCTACGGCCCCTTCCCGACTGCCCGCGGTGTATGCTGGTCACTGTAGCTGAACCCTATACGAAATCGGAAAAACCGCCAAACCATGAACCCTAAAAACCCTGAAGCATAATTCCCTAAAACTGTAAACAACCCACGCTCTAGAACCCTCAAGCCTGCACCCCAAAACCCTAAAGCGCTAAACCTCCCAAGTACCCTTTAAATGTCCCCATTCAGGTACACTTAGGCACTTACTAAGGGGTACTTGGGGGAAGGGGAGGGGGGAGGGGGGTGTAGGAAAACCCTAAAACCCAAAAGCCCTAAAACCCCTCAAACCCGAAAATCCGAAACCCCAACCAACCCGAAAACCCTAAAACCCTAAAACCTAAACCCAAAACCCCAAACCCTAATCCCCTAAACCCTAAACCCCCAACCCAGAGCCCTAAACCCTAAACCCCTCAAACCCTAAACCTACAACCCCTATCCCCAAACCCTGAACCCTACACCCTAAACCCTAAACCCTAAACTCCCCTAGCCTCGAGGCGCTGGCTGAGATGCAGCTTCTCCTGCTCGGCCTTGGCCTTGGGTCGGTTTAGGGTTTTAGGGTTTAGGGCTTAGGGTTTTGGGTTTCGGATTTGAGGCGTTTGGGGCTTTTAGGTTTTGGGGTTTTGGGGTTTCAGGGTTTCGGGTTAAGGGATTAGGGGTTTAGGGCTTAGGGTTTAGAATGTGGGGCTCGGGGTTAAGATAGGGGACGGGGTTTGGAGTCGGATTGGGGGGTTTTAGGGTTCATGGTTTAGGGGGTTTAGGGTGTTTAGGGGATTTGGGGGGTTTAGGGGATTCGGGGGTTCGTGGATTTAGGCTTTGGGGCTTGGTTCGGCTGTTAGGGTTTGGGGCTGATACGGGATTTACGGGTTTACGTGGTTTAAAATTATGCTAGGTGTTTCGGATTGTTGGGGTCTTGGTTTCAGGCTTTGAAGCTCTCCCCGTTTTACGGCATCCGATGCGGGTTTCAGGCCTTTAGGGGCTTGGGTCCGTGAGCGTACTTCGGCCTGTTCCAGGCCTGAAACCCTGAAGTCCTACAACCTCAGATTCAACTTGTGTTTCTAAAGCCCTACACCCGTACACCCTAAACCCCTAAACCCCCATGACACAAGCCCTCGCCCTCAACATTGAAACCTTTCCTCCCTGCAGCCACCCAAAGCCCCCGAGACCTTAACGCCTTTCTGGCAACCGTGCTCTGAAATAAACCTAAAAGGCGCGACGTAACAAGCACTGCAGAGTTGATCTCTGGGCCCCCAGGCGATGGCTTCGTCGTGCTTTTTGTTCTGCTCGGCGGCCTGGGGATTGCAAGGATTGAGGGTATTTAGGGTTTAGGGTATTTCGGGTATTTCGGGTATTTAGGGTATTCAGGGTATTTAGGGTATTTAGGGTATTTAGGGTATTTAGGGTATTTAGGGTATTTAGGGTTCCGGTTTTGGGGGCTATGGAGCACGGTTTTGGGTTGAGGGCGTAGGATTTAAGATTTAGGGTTCAGGGTTTAGGTTACCCCAAACCAATGGCCCTCACAAAAAGGTAGGTTCTACTGGTTCTGCAACCGTCTTGTCAAAAGCAGGGCGTTGGGGGTTTCAGGGTCCCTCTTTTCTTAGATTGCGGGCACCCTCCTGATTTTTCCTATCAAAAAGAAACCCTAAAGCCTCGAATTCTGAGGAAGGCGCTTCAGTGATATCAAGACACATTGCACTCACGTACTTGCCCATGTGCCATGCGAGAGCCCAAACAAAAAGGCCTCCAGGGCTTACTAGGCTGCCCTGTGACCTAGGCTTAAAAAGGGTGCCCTTTTTTTGCTTAAAGGGGTTTATAAGGGAACCTAACCCCCCCCCCCCCCCCCCCCCAAAAAAAAAAAAAAAAAAGGGAAGAAGGGTACTACTGGGCCTCCATGGCTTATGCCGGCAATCCTGGGGCATCAAGGTCTGGCGCCACCTCTTGGTTGCTCAAGAACCCAGTATTTTAAAAGGGTGTGTTTTTTGCTTAAAGGGTTTTTTAGAAGGGAAGTATTTAAAATGGGTGCCCTTTTTGCTGAAAGAGGTTTATAAGGGAAGCTACCCCCCCCCCCCCCCAACAAAAAAAGGGGAATAAGGGTACCACTGGGCATGCTAGACCTTGAGAAGTAGCGAGTGGTGCCCTTCCCAACAGGCTTCGAACCCTGACAGTCCTGCCCGAGCATTTTTGGGGGTTTAGGGCATTTGGGGCTTCAGCATCTACACCACAAGCCCAACACAACAAAGACCCTAAAGCCCTGCAACCCCAAAAAAGTTGATGGTCATGCACCAACATGCACCTCGTGGTCTGAAGCCCCTAGGAAAGTTGCAGGTGGGTAGCCGTCCTCAAGCTGCAAAACACCCACAAACAGGGGTATTTCCCAAAATAGTTAAATTAAATAGCGCCCGGTCCCCCTAATATACCTCGAAAATACTGTAATCCCTATTCTAAGAACCCCCAAAAAAGGTACCCCTATTTTCGAAAACGCCACAAAAATTTCCAAAACCCTGAAAGCCTCAAGCGCCACAGCCGGAAGAACCCAAAGCCTAAAAAGTCCTGTACACCCCTGCAACCTTGAAACCCTAAACCCTAAACCCTAAACCCTAACCCCTACCCCCTAAACCCTAAACCCTAAACCCAATTAACCATATAAACCCTAAACCCGAAACCCTGAAATTCCTTTCCGCGCCTTCTCCGCGTGCTCCTTGGCCTGTGCACCCTGGAGCTCTGCTTCCAGCTCCTGCACGCGCTTCTGCAGCTCCTGCCGGGGGGGGATTGTGGATGAGGGGGTTTAGGGTTTTAGGGTTTTAGGGTTTTAGGGTTTTAGGGTTTTAGGGTTTTAGGGTTTTAGGGTTTAGGGTTTAGGGTTCAGGATTTTAGGGTTTAGGGGTTGAGGGTTTTAGGGCTGAGACAGGCTTAGGAATTGCAGGGTTTTGGGTTTTAGGGTCTTAGGGCTTAGAGGGTCTTCGAATTATGGGGCTTAGGCATTGGGGTGTCGGAATCAGCATCTTAGGGTTTAGGGCTCTAGGGTTGGGGTTTCGGTGTTGAGGTTTGGGGATAAGGGCCGTAGGCTGTGCTTGGGAGTGTAGATGAAGGGGAAACACCTCGACTCGCGTCAACAATGCAAAAACTCAGCCAGCAAGAGGAAAGTCGTACATCTAGTATAGCAAAGCTGAAACATGCTGAAGCCCACCCGCCCAACCCCTAAACCCTAAACTGAGTGATGATTCAAAGCCCTTTGAAAATTATTTATGAATAGGCGCCATTAGAATGGAAGAAAGGAAATTTAAAATTGTCCCAAAGCACTACCCAGTAAACCCTGAACACTGAATCCTAAACCCTAAACCCCACCATCTGCCCAGCGCCCACAGCCTTCTGGCGTCCCTGGGATTGGACCTCCGCCTGGGATGACACCTTCTGCCTGAAGAAGAGGGAAGAGGGGCTTAGGGCTTTCAGGGTCTCTGGGAGGCTTAGTAGGGTTTAAGGTAGGGGTGTGGGGTTATAAGATGTTAAAGGCTTTGGGAGGCTTGGGGCTGTGGAGTGTAATTCATGTGCCCCGCAAATGTCCGGAAGTCAGCAGAGGGCTCGGGGGCTTATTTGGCTTCGCTTGCATCCGCTACAAGCGCTCGAACCAAGGGCCCCTTTCCGCCAAGACCTGATCCTGTCAACCTAAACCCTGCAAGCCCTACAAACCTTAAAGCCTACTGAGTCCACTCCTTCAACCTGACGCCATCAACACCCCACTCGGCTCCAAACTCCCGACTCTGAGCCCAAGTTGCCTCTCACTCTGGACCTTCACGCACGCTGATGCCGTGCCCAGCTCCTGCAACTGCGCTGGGGTGTCAGCACTGGTGCTTAGGAAGGAGGGTGGCGAGTGAAAATGCAGGTGGCCATCGGGATAGAAATCGGGATGGTCTAGGGGGAATCCGCGAGTCCTTTCATAAGCACCAGTAAGTCAGTTCTGTGAGCTGTTGTGCGAACGGAGTCTAGACCTCGGAATAGGACGTGCAATCGAAAGCCTGAGGAAAAAGAGACGTATAGAGGCGCATTATAGGTTAAGTGCGTTTTGCGCTTGCTTTGCCTTAGGTTAAGCGTTGTTTGGCGTTCCGGTACAATCAACACTTCGTCAAACGGCAACCGGTGATACATCGGGCATCGATCCAAGCGATAGAGTACGAGCCCAAAGCTCTGTGCAACACAGCACAAAATTGGGATGTTCCCCCTTATACCAACAGTCCCTAGTAGGGATTATCGTAGGGGGTACCATAATCCCTATGAAGGACTGTATAAGGGGGGAACATCCCAACCCTAAACCCTTATCTCCACCAAATAGGCCCTAAGCCCTAAACCCTAAACCCTAACCCCCTAAACCCCTAAACCCCAAAACCCCAAAACCCCAAAACCCCCAAAACCACCTAAACCCCTCAACCCATAAACCCCTCAACCCCTAAACCCCTAAACCCCTGAACCCCAAAACCCCCTAATCCCCTACTTTGCCACCTTCTCCAGGGCCAGCTTTGCAGCTTCGCGGTCTTCGAGCTTTGCCTCGACAACACGAGGGCCCCATTCACGGCTTGGGATTGAGGATTCAGGGTTTCGGGTTTGTTTCGGGCTTATTGTTTATTTAGGGTTTAGGGTTTGGGGTTTGGGGTTTGGGATTTAGGGTTTAGGGTTTAGGGTTTTGGGGTATATGAAGGCTCTAGGCCATGTGGTTGGTGGACTCAAGGACAATTTGGGGGGCGGGGGGGGGGGGGGGGGGGGGGGGGGGGGGGGGAAAGGGGCGAATTCGGCTCTGGGTAGGAGTAGGATCCCCCGACTACTCCCCTTCATCTTCCGAAGCCCCCAAAGCGCAGACTTCAACGTGAGGCCTACTTGGAAGCCCTTTTGACTTCGTAAGTAGGGTTGGTACGGTGGGCTATGGGAAATACAATAGCGTTTCTCTAGGGGATACTAAGTAGACCTACGAAGTCACAAGAGCTTCCACGTGGAACCAGCAGGATGCGCGACAAGAACTTGGCTGCACTTAGCAGGGTAGCTATAACTTTAATGTTTAGCTGCCTTAATAAGAAACCCAATAAACACAAAAAGGCTAAGGCTCTAAAGTTGCAGTACCCCAGCCTTTGGGGGGGGGGGGGGGTTGAAGGGGTCAGGGTTTAGGGTTTAGGCATAAGGGGTTTTTTGCTTCAATCATGTTTCCGGCGACCCAAGTTAACGAACCCAAGGCCCTGAGCTTTCGCCAATGTTGCTTATAACTAGGTAAGATTACGGGGTACTGGTTGTGGAAGTTTGCATCATTCCCTACTAGAACCCTTGCTCCTAAAAAATGTCTCGGGGACGGTTGTTATCGGAAGATCCCCAGTTCACTCTTGACTCTCACTTCAGCGCCACAGCCCCCAGTGCAACTTTTCAGGTGAAGCTTTACTGTAAGGGCCTTAATGATTAGAATAGGGGTTTGGGGGTTCTGATAGTTATTTATATAGGGGCCTTAATGATTAGGAAGAGGGGTTTGGGGGCTCGTATAGTTCTTTATACAGGCCTTTTTAGTAATTCTTCCGACCCCTATAAGGGGTTTGGGGGTTCTTATATATTTAATATATTTTTACAGGTATTATTAGTAATTATTCCGACCCCTTATTACTTCTGTCTCGCCTGCAGCTTCTTGAGCGACCGCTGTGATTTGTCCGCTGCCTTTACCTTCACAGGGGCTCTATGGGTTCACACGCTTTTCTTGGATTTCAATTGGGATTCAGGGTTCAGGGTTCAGGGTTTAGGGTATTCCAGCTGTCCTCGAAGCACTCTCTAGGCGAAATCTAGCAAACGAAATCTTCCAACCACGTGACCTGCGCCTCACGAGCCTGTGCTCCAAATAGCCCACACCAAGTCTATCCTAAGCCCTAAAGCCCTAAAGCCCTAAACCCTAAACCCTAAACCCAAAGCCCCTAAAGCCCTAAAGCCCTAAAGCCCTAAAGCCCTAAAGCCCTAAAGCCCTAAAGCCCTAAAACCCCAAAGCCCTAAAGCCCTAAAGCCCTAAAGCCCTAAACCCTATAGAAGAAGCTCCACCATGTGAAGGCGGCGGAAGAATTTTAGAGGTATCCGGAGTGCTGCCGCGAAAGAGCAATCAGCCCGTGATCCGCTAATCTTGTAGATGCCTAAGCCCCGAAGCCCTGCAAACCCTGAAAAGCCCAAGGTCTCAACCCAAAAGGGTTTAGGGTTTAGGGTATAGAAATCCCTGATCTAGATATCTATCTCATTTATTATTTATGTAGACACATCCATGCACAAAGCAAGCAGTCCTCCCTCCTCCCCACCCCAAATCGGATTTAGGATTCGTACCGGGCCCATAGTGATACAAGAAATATGGAGCGGAGGTTCATGGGTAGCTATAAGTAAGGCTCTAAGTACCCCAAAATAAACCTAGAGTCATCCTATTTGAAGCCCTATGTGTAACTACCCATGAACTTCCAATTAGCCCTAAACCCTAAACCCTAAACCCTAAACACTAAACCCTTAACCCTAGCCGGGGGGTTGTGGGGATTGCCATCTCCAGCCTCCGGCGCCAGCTGGTCGTTGGACTCCGTGACGCGCTGGGCTTCCGCCTAGGCCCGAAGGCCCCCGGGGGTGTGGTTGGGAGTTGGGGTTTAAGGGTTTAAGGGTTTAAGGGTTTAAGGGTTCAAGGGTTTAAGGGTTCAAGGGTTTAGGGGCTTTTAGGGTTTGGGGTTTAAGGCTAAGGGGTTAGGGGCTCAGTTCTTAGGGGAGCTTTGACCAAGAGGCCATGTCAGGCTGGCAGCCCCCGGGTGTATTGCTTTGAGGGCTTAGAGCTCTGGAGTTTCGGTTTCTTACTTTAACGTTAAACTTGCTGTTGGTTAGTGGGACATGGGGGAATGAGGTACCCTATATCCCCCTATATATACCCTGTAAGAGATAACATAGGGTACCTCATTTCCCCATTCCCTACTAACCAACAGTAAGTAAAGGTCTAGGGCGCGATTGCTTCAGGGAGGTCTAGGGCAGAGCATGGGTTTCCGAGCGGTAGCCCCAGATTTCAGCTTCAAATGACAGCCAGATCGCGAAATCCCCCGGGCGCCTGGAGGTTCACGCCCCAGGTTGCAAACGACCACGGGGCGCTTAAACAAGCTGACACTCCGGAACCTGTAATACAGGGGCCTGAGTAATTGGAATATATGGCTTCATGCTCCCATCTTTCAACAAACTGGACGTTGTCTCGCAGCAGTACCCTGCTGACTGAACACTAAAGCAACATCACAACTCCTTGCACCTACATTCTAAACACGTGCCACATGTAGGAGAGGGAGAGTTTGGGGGTATTGCCGAGCCCAGCAATCCGCTACAGTACCCCTTGCGCAGCTACAGCACGAGCTTCGACAAGCGATGCCTCGTCGATGACCTCTACAGCACCTGAGCGGCTTAGCGCTCCAGGCTGTCGGACGTGTTGGGCTCAAACGCTCTTTGCTGCGACCAGCTGGAGGACGTCTGCAGATGTTGCAAGCACGGCATCAAGCTCCGCGCCGCCAGGGCCAAAGCTGGCACCCACCTTGGCCGGCAAGGACTCAGCATCCGCACGCCTCGATGACGATCGTGATTGGAGGAGGTCGAATCTTGGAACGAGACGCTGGAGCGCAGCAACAATCGCACGCTGCCTTGGCACGCTGGCACGCAGCAGCGCGCCCGCCCCTTGCACTGCAACCACGGCGGCAGGGTCATGGTGGGGAACAGTAACTGCCACTTGAAAGAACTTGTCACCACCACCCAACGCGGCATCGTCGCAATCGGCTACTGCCACCTGTGCTCCCGTCACGTGTTTCCCTGCTTGACTTGCCCACCTTGAGTGACGACCCATGACCCTTGGCCTTCTTGGCATTCAATCAAAGACAATTTGCCAGCCACAACACCTAGGCAGCCCCCGCCCAGCACCTGGAGCTTACATCCTGCACCTGCAAAGATCTCTGCACCCATGCGGCCCCCCAACCGAATCTATGCAAGACTTGGCTGCCACACCGCTGCTTGATGCGACCACACATTGCTCCTGAGCTGCTGCTTTCATTCTTGTTGACTACTAGAAGCGCTTCGCAACTCCATCTCATCAGATTCAGATGCGTCGTTGTTGAGCCCCGGATCCCCAGCGCTTGTGCCTTCTTCTTCGGCCTTCGCCTTCGCCTTCGCCCGCATTTTGCGCGCCTTTCGCGCACGCGCCTTTCGCTCACGCCTAGCCTGAAGCCTGGCATCTGCAGCAGCCTCAGCGCCTGCTCTCCCGCCGCGCCGTTCTGGGCGCTCTTCAGTTGCGAACCCCAACACAGCCTCGTGCGTCACACCTTTGCAGGCACCCCCGATTCTGAGCATCAGGTCCTTGGTCAGGATGTCGGGCGTGTCCATCAATGAGTGCCTGGTGCTTGAGGAGTCCTGGAAAACATTGTCCCCAATCTCTAGGAGCTCCTGGGCATCCAGCTTGCCATCCACTTTGCCATTTCCATTGCCCTCGTGCCTGATGTCCAGCTCCATAGCAGCCATAGCAGCCATAGCAGGGGCAACAGGATCCGGAGCAGCCGGACTTGCCAGAGGTGGCGACAATGATGTCGATCCGTGGGCGGGAAGGGAATCCATGGCGCTGAGAAGGCGAAGGGGCCTGCCACTGCAGATGTATTATAGGAACCTTCAGAATTAGAATAGGGCTTTTTTGGGGGGTTATTCTAGTACAGTTATCAAGGAACCATAAGGGAAGACTATTAGCAATTACTCCGACCCCTATACTAAATTGAGTAAATCAGGGCCCCAGCAAGTGATTTGAAGTTGTACGGTGGTTCTGTCTGTGTAGACCATACGGACTTAGAAGCTCGATGCCTTCGGACAGCCACGCGGCAGCAGGCAGGTTTTGGGGTTTAGGGTTTATAGGGTTTAGGGTTTAGGGTTTAGGGCTTAGGGCTTACTTCGGGGGCAGGGTGGAAGGTAACTGGTACACCAAGCTTGCATGGCCAGGTCTCCAAACGGGAACGCCCCCTAAACCCGTACTGCTGCTGCACCAACGAGGCGAGTGCAGACCTAGGGTTTAGGAGTTTAGGGTTTAGGGTTTAGGGGTTTGGGGGTTTAGGGTTTAGGGTTTAGGGTTTAGGGTTTAGGGTGCGGCCCCCAACATCAAGAAGACAAGCGGAAAACATCACTCCTGCACCCGATCAAGAGTAAACCCGAACCCGAAGCTCCTGGGCTGAACCCTAAATCCTGAGCCCATGCCAGGAAGCCCCCCCCCCCCCCCCCCCAATTCTAAGGGTAGTTTCCATGGGCCCTTAACCTGGTCCCTTACCTCCATTAAGGGGGTTCTGAAGTATGGGCCCTTGGGTTTTCTAGGGTATATAAGGGCACATCATAAGGGGTCCCCATTTCAGGGCCCGTACTAAGGGGCCATGTAACTACCCTGAGACCAAGGGGATCGGGACAACTGGCTCGGTTCATGGTCTATGAGCTGCCGTAAGTGGGCTTGCCGCGAGTCTAGGTTTTGGGTTTAGGGTTTAGGGGGTCTTAGGGGGTTTAGGGGGGCTTTGAGGGGGGTTTAGGGGAGCTTATTAGGGGGAAGGGGAGGAACCGAACCAACGTAAACCCACAAACCGGCTCAAATGAACCGGAAGCGCAGGAACCGCAAATTATCAAACCGAACCACGAACCGGAACCCGGGCCTGGGGGATACCCAGGGCACCAATCAGCTCCTAAGCCGGCTTTTGAAGAGACATTATAGGGTTCTTAAGGGAGGGGGGGGGGGTTCAAGGGGGGTAGGTAACGCAAGGTTCCCTAATGCTCCCTACTACTCCCTAGGGCTCCCCCAAGCTTCCCGAAGGTTCCCGAGGTACCTACCCCCCTTGAACCCCCCCCTCCCTTAAGAACCCTCTGAAGACAGCCAGGCGGCTTCCAAAAGCTTACACCGTCGCTGAATCACCTCCCAGATCATGTCAAGATTCATCGGGGTTGGGACTTTACATGGGTTCATGGAAGTGGGCTAGAATGGTTCGCCTACTTGCTACTCATGAAGAATAACGAGCCTAAACTCCAAAGCCAACCAAAACAAGAGTTTTTGAGAGCCCTGCAAACTTCCCTCTTGTCCCAAAAAACCCTGGAAATGACGGTTTTTTGGAGGTTAGGGTTTAGGTTTAGGGCTTAGGGGATAGGGTGATTCCGAGAGGGGCTGTAAACCAAGAAGACCACAATCTCCGTGGCTCTTGTCCTACGACCCTTAACACAACGGATCCTTATCTCAACACCCAGACCCTAAAAAAAACGAAAACCTAAAAAGCCCCAAAGCACCCGAAAGAAAAAACAAAAGCACCAAAACGACCTCAAAAACCAAAAAAGCAAGTAAACCCCACAAAACGAACCGAGCACCTAAACCCTAAACCCTAAACCCTGCGCCCTAACCTACTGCACCCGACCCTGGCCTCCAGCGCGATCTGCTGCAGCTCCTTCTGCAGCTCCTGCAGGTTTAGGGTTAAGGGCTTGTAGGGTTTAGGGCTCAGGGCTGAGGGTTTCGGGTTTAGGGTTTAGGGGGGTTTGGCGCTTTGGTGGATTTGGGGCTTCAGGGTTTGGGGTGTTTATTGCGGTTCTGGGCCTTGGAACCATTAGCCACAGTATGATGAGGGCACCCCTTTGTTGGGTTTAGGGTTTAGGGTTTAGGGCCCAGGGTTTAGTTACTTTACAAGGGAACCGCTACCAAGAGGGTCTCAGCGGGAGCTCCAAGGAGCTGGCCCTTTGGGGCATGAGGGTTGGGCATCTTCTTGCATGGCTCATGGGGCGTTCAGGGTGTTCACCATATTTATTTATTTATTTATTTTTTTTAGTTCATTTTTTTTTTTTTTTTTTTGGGGGGGGGTTGCTCGGGCTGAATTATGAGACACGACAGAGCAGCAACCCTCCCTCCACCCTTGAACTACTAAACCCTAAGCCCTCAAAAGCCGCAGGTTAAAAAATATCCACGGTGAAGGATCACGGAGCCCGTTTACAAAAGCCAACCCCTGCACTAGACCCTAAGCCCTAAAACCCTCCACCCTACACGCTAAACCCTGGACTCGAATGAGCAAAAGAAGAGGGTTAACACTTGGAGACTATTGGGTGCCTTCTGGTTTATGGGCTGCATAAGGGGCCCTTTTCTATACTCCCCTTAGAACCGTTATTCTTAATATCCTCTAGGGTGTTATAAAAAAATAATGCCCTAGGGGGATATAGTTTTTAGTATCCCCAGAATGATGCTTCGCCGGCCTCGGACGCTGAGGGAAGCTTCCTGAAAGGCTTAGGGAAAGCCTAAACCCTAAACCCTAAACCCTAAAGTTCTAGGAGTCTAGGGCTTACAGGGCATGTTGGGCTTCGGTATGCTATAGGGCTTGGCTTCAGAGTGTCTGGAAGAAAGCCTGTCATAGCAGCAAATATACAGATCCAAACCCTGATCTGTGCCATGTACTGCTTGCGCAGCGGGCATGCAGGTATACCTCGAACCCTTCCGTGGGGCACCTACAATTTCAAAGTGTGTGTGTGTGTGTGGAGTTTCCTGACATAGATGTGTTCGCCTGTCCTGTCCTGTTTTGCCCTGCCATGTCCCTTTATGTTGTGTTGTGCTATGTTATGTATGTATGTATGTATATATATATATACTGAATATATCTGTATATATAATATAGATGTATACACACGCTTATATGTCTACAGTCAGTCTACATGTCTCGAGAGAACGTTAGCCCGGAACGCAAACCACATCTCTAAGCTTGGGCTACCAAGCTGTAGTTGGGAAATGGAATTAGACCCCGAACCATTCCAGGCACAAGGCACCCGGCAGCCGCTTTCTGCAGCATCGCTTCGCCAGCGTCTGCCTACGCATCTTTGTTCGCAGAATCCCCTAATTACACTACACCTTGTTGCCACCTCTCCAATGAAATGAAGGGCTACGCAAACCCTGAAACCCCGCGACCTGAAAACATGTACATCGCAAAGCCCTACGCCCGCCTTGAGCCAGGGCATAGAGTCCGCTGCAGTACCCTAAACTGGTTCATAGTTGGGATAGTAATGAAAAATCTAAAATTTCTTCCTTATTGAGTTTAAGTACCCTTAAACATGTTACCCCACTATGACAAAGTAAACAACCGAATGCTTGAAACACCAGACACGGAGTACCCCATAAACCCCACGCGACCCTTGCCTTGAGAGATCCAACCTTGCTACCTTGAAGCCCTGAACCCTGAATACTGAACCCTAAACCCTAAACCCTAAACTCGAAACCCTATAAACCCTAAACCCTAAACCCTAAACCCTAAGCCTAAGGGGGGGTTCCCATGACAAACACAATCCAGAAGCAAAGGAAGGAACTGCGCCTGCGCCGTGCGCTCTCGCAGCGCGGCCTGGAGTTGCCTCGGAAGAAGTCTGTTTATAGTTTATAATAGGGTTTAGGGTTTAGGGTTACTTCTCCAATAACCAAGGGAAAAAAGGTTAAACTTTATTTTTCCTGCTAGATAAGGAAGCCCAAAAAGTTTAAAGTTCAGCTGTGGGAGAAGTCTCCTAAGGGGGCTTATAGGGGCTTGGGGCTTATAGGGTGTAGGGTTTATAGGGTTTATAGGGTTCATAGGGTTTATAGGGTTTATAGGGTATAGGGTTTATAAGGTTGATAGGGTTGATAGGATTTAGGGTCTATAAGGCTTCTAGGGCTTATAGGGTTTAGGGGAGGTTTAAGGCATGGGCTTAGGTGTTTAGGGTTTCAGGCCGAGGGTTTAGGGGTTTGGGGCTCTGGGGTTTGAATCCCGCAAAGGGTTTATGGCAATGCACATTGAAAGCGAAAGGCTTTGGCTGCTGAAGGTATGTAAGGTTTAGGGTTGACCTGCAACCCTCCAAACCTTGCAAAGCGGAGTAGAACCCTCAAAATGGCACTCATTTAAAAGAACCCGCACCCGGCCCCATCATCAAAACGATGCTGCAGAGACAGCAATCGAAGGGTCATATGAATCATATAGGCACACAAAAGATGCTGGCTGCCTTCAATAGAGTGGCCCAGAACTCCCTCAAGAAAATTCCTAAGTAAGACATAGTAAGACCCCCTAAACCCTAAACCCTAAACCCTAAACCCTAAATCCTAAAAGGGAGGTAGCAAGGATCCCAACTGCCTACCTCGTCCTTAGCTGTCCCGCACCTGGGGGAAGTCGAGGTTGACCTTTGGGATTATATAAGGGGATTATTTTACCCCAAAAAGGTTAAAAAGGTACCTACTCTACTAACCCTCAACCCTAAACCCTAAACCCTAAACCCTAAGAGGTCCATGAGCCGAGGCATGTTGCAGCACCCTCGTCTTGAGAGAGAGAAGGCGGCTGGCCGCGTCGCTGTCAGCTTCCTCATTCTTGTCCCGCTTCTTGTCCTCTCGGAATGGCTAGATGGGGGGTTCACGAAAATACGGTACCCCTTATTATAAGGGATCCTGCTATTTGGGGGTCAAGATTAAGGCTCCCTTATTTTCGTAAATTCCCATATAAGAGTTAGGGGATTACGGGGTTACAGGGCAGTTGGCTTGAAGGGGGGATATGGGTTTAGCGGGCAGGCGTGGGATTTGAGCAGCTGGCGCTGAGGGTTTATGTTGTGGCAGCCAGCTTCTTGAAGGATTCCACAGTCTTGCGATAGCTCTTCAAAAGCTTGACGTGCTCCCCGTCTCGCGCTCAACGGCTCTGATGCTCACGATGCTCGATGGAAGTAGCCTGGCCCGTGTAGGATCTGGCAAGTTCGTGGTGATCGTTGGAAGCGTTGAGGTCCTTGCAGGCTGTGGCAGCTGATGCTCATGATGCGCGGTGGGCGCGGCATGGTCCGTGCAGGGTCTGGCCGCTGATGCTCATGATGCTGGGGCTGGAAGGTTCAGGAAGTACCAGGATGGGCTATTATACCCTATAACCGCTTAAAAAGGGCCCTTTATAGGGTTGATTGTGGGGATGATAAGGCCCAACAGCCCATCCTGGTAGGTTTGAGGGTCGCCCCAATCAGCACTTGGGCTCGGGCTGAAGCGGCTCTGGGACCTCATATGGGACGCCTGTGCTTGGCGGGTGAGCCGGTGGGCGACGCCAAACAATCAGTCATTCTCTGCAGTTCTGCGTATAAATGCCAGACCCGTTCAACAAGTAGCACGATCGAAAAACCCAATCGCTATAAAACCCCAGTTCCCCAGACCTTTCGCAGCCCCAGACCTCTAACGCGGCAGCTTGAAGAACCATCCCCTCATAGCCCTCATCCCGGTATGGCAAAAGCTGGTGTTCATGAAAAGAGTTTTGGCAGCGTGTAGGCTGCTGTCTGGGTACCTCGACTCTTATAGGCCCCTGAGCATGCCAACACCAAGTGCGCGAACGCCCGAGAACCTGGATCACTACACCCGAAAACCGGAAACCCCTCAAAAAGGCCCTGTATAGGTTTGATTATGGGGATTATAAGGCTTCATAGCCCATCCTGGTATGGGCCAGTTGTAAGCCCGCCTCTGAATCTTATGAGGGGGTTCTACGACTAGAACCTGGAACAACAAAGTTGTGCACAGATCAGGTGCATCCAGGTGCTCTTTCAAGTTCTTGAGGCAGGGCCGTGCACTCTGAACTTGACGATGTACACCTACATAAACCCCTACCCCCTAGGGGTTTGGGTTTTTAGGGTTTAGGGTTTAGGGTTTAGGGTTTAGGGTTTAGGGTTTAGGGTTTAGGGTTTAGGGTTTAGGGTTTAGGGGTTTAGGGCCTAAACCTCCGCCCTATAGACCCCAAACGGATCCTTCTTGGCTTTGAAGTCAATAGGCGACAGGAGCTGCATCGGCTTCCTAGCAGCGGACTCGCTTTGCGGCTTAAGTCTGGTCTTGCCGGCGTGGGCGGGCGGGGGGAGGAGGAAGGACTGGGGTTTAGGGCTTTATAGGGTCCCGCTACAAACCACGTTCATAACCTTGGCAAAATTCCCTGCCCCAACCCCCCCCCCCCCCACTTCGAGCTTCAAGTGGCGTCCTGAATGCTGCTGCACTTAGAGACTAGCTCAAACACGCCACAGCAAGGAACTTCAAGACGTGAACAGTTGAAAAGCCGAGAAGAGCAAACATACGTAGACAAGCGCGGACATTGAACAGTCGAAGGGTACGAACATTCGAGGAAATGCCAAAAACGTCACAAACGACGTGAAAGCGAAAAGGCGCACATCTCGAAAAGTGCAAGAAGGACCGTAGGACGCGAAAAGCCGAGTCAAAAACACAAAACTGTTCGACGTTTGACTTTTCTAGGGGTTGTGCATGCTGGCGGCGAGCTTGGGACCCCCCCCCCCCTCCCTCCCTAAACCCTAAACCCTAAACCCGAACCCTAAACCCTAAACCCTAAACCCTGAACCCCTTTTGAATCAACCTCAATGCAGGGCACGCGAGGGCACCGCCGGAGACCAAGGCCCCCGGGCCCAAACCTGCCGACTCCCAGCAACAAAACAAGGGCTTATTCTAGGGTTTAGGGTTTAGGGTTTAGGGTCTTATTTTGGGGCCGGGCTTTTTTCAGGGCTGGTTTAGGCTTTAGGGTTTGGGGTAACGGTTTAGGGTTTTCAGGGTTGGTTTAGGGTTTAGGGCCTTGAGGTGTTCCCCCTTCAACTAACAGTCCTTCATAGGGAGTATAATAGGGGGTTCTAGAAATTCGTATCGGGGTGAGCATCCCAAGTCTAGGGCTTTTAAAGGGTTAATTCAGGGCTTGTGAAGGGTCTAGCTGTGGCTTTCACAGGGGTTGAAGGGCCTTTTGGCCTGAGGGTTGAAGGATATGTGCAGGGCTTTGAAGAGGCTTTATGGACTTGAAAGTCACAAGGTTTCAGGATGAGAGCGTTAGAGTTTAGGCTGCTCAGGTTTATGATTCAAAAGTTCGGAGCGTTAGGGTTGGGTGCTGACGAGGCTTTAGGCTACTAGCAGCTGTAGACAGGTCTGGGATCCGGCTGGCTGAAAATCCAATATTCCGGAAATAGATGGGACGCGGGCACGTTTTCCGCGGACGGCCCGCAAACCTCTACCCAAATAATTACCCTGAAAGACACCCCCCCCCCCAATATGCACTCCCACATGTTTAGCCCTGAACACTAAAGCCTGAGAGCCCTACAAAGCCACAACCCGGAAACTCCTGAAATTCACCTCAAATCCGCAACCTGTTCATGGGTTGGTATAGGTAGACTTCTATCTACCTTACACATCTCTCTCCCGACACAAACCCAAAAACAACCCTAAGCCCTAAGCACCCAACTTGCAAGCACCCCTGCACTAAACCATCATGCTGAAAGCCCTCCTAAACCCTAAACCCTAAACCTGAAACCCTTTTGAACCCGAAACCCCAAACCCTCAACAGTTTTCCAACACCACATCCGTCTAACCACAATACGCGAAAACAATGAACTATTCCTAAAGCCCCTGTCTAGTCTTCACACCTGCACGAGTACTAACCCCATGGCCGTTAAACCCTGAAGCACCAAAAACTGAAACCTTAACACCGACCCTGGCCTTTCAGCCCAGCAGGTTTCGGATCCTTACAGAGGCAGGGTAATGTAGGGGGCCGGGAAAGTTCTAATGGTGTTGTAGGGTTTATTGTAGTATGAATAACAAGGCCAAGACTCCTAACACCCTAATTAGAATAGGGGTTTTGGGGGGTTAATTATTGTAGTATAAATATGAAGGGACGATCAGGGAATACGATTCGTAACTATGCCGACCCCGGTATTCGGCAAAGTCGACGTTGGTGAAGCCCCAAACCCTCGCCCTGCCCGGGCACACGCACTGAAGTAGAAGAGTTTGTGCTTTTGGCAAAAACCGGCAGTAGGATACCCCTGAAGCAGGGAATGCAGAAACTATATAAGCATATAAAAAACTGCCCAACAAGTTTAGATATACACATATATATATATATACATCCGTATACACATAGGGCCTTTCTTGCTGAATCCAGGTGTGTGAGGGGCATTGGGCAGGTCTCTGGAGCGGAAATTTCCGGTGGGCGCCAAGTTGGGTGTGGTAGCCGTAGCCGTCCAGACCCCTAAACCCCACTCCTTAAACCCTAAACCCTAAGGTTTATGGTTTAGGGTTTAGGGGTCACTTCACCATGTCCTCAACCCTAAGCCGTATTCACTGGTGTATCCTAAACCCCTGGAAAGCCCTCAAGCCCTAAGCACTCCTTGCTACAACCCCTAAACCCTAAACCCTAAACCCTAAACCCTAAACCCTAAACCCTAAACCCTAAACCCTAAACCCTAAACCCTAAACCCTAAACCCTAAACCCTAAACCCTAAACCCTAAACCCAACCTTGACCCTCAACCTTAAAGCCTGCAGGCCTTAGATACTCGGAGTTTCACGGGTGGTTATGCGCGGGGTTATGAGTATAGGGTAACTATGGCTATAACTGATTCTAACCTGATTATTGGGGTACGAAAAACTTATAACCCTACTCATAACTACCCATGAACCTTCAAGTAGCCCTAAACCCTAAACCCTAAACCCTAAACCCTAAACCCTAGACTCCAAACCCTAAACCCCAAACCCCAAACCCCAAACCCCAAACCCTAGACCCTACCCAAATGAACCTTCCAAGTACAGGTGGAGCGGAGTGGCAGACGCCGCTCTGGAGGCAGATTCTTTGGCCTCCTTCACCTGCCACTGCCAGGGGTTGGGGCTGAGCTTACAAGGTTTAGGGTTTGGGGTTTGGGGTTTGGGGGTTTTAGGGTTATCAATTTTGGGCCCAAACGTTGGGGCTGAGCTGATAAGAGGAGGTTGTAGGGTTGACTTACAGGATTAGCCCAAAAGAGCCACCCCTCAATTCGGGGGGGGTTTTGGGGATGAGCTTAAGGGGGTTTATAGTTTTGGCCAATACCCCTGCATGAAGGAATTACCATCGAGCGATGCAGGCGTCCGTACGATGAACCCTGAACCCTGAACCCTAAAACCTAAACCCTAAACCCTAAACCCTACACCCTAAACCCTACACCCTATCTGAGGGTAGGTGGGTGTGTAGGTGGGTGTGCGCCTTCATGATCAAATATCGGCTGAAGACGTAGCCGTTCTGGTGCGCCAGAGCCGTCAGCTTGTACTGCACCTCACTCTGCGCTCTTCGAGATTTTTGGGCACTCCGGGCCAAGACCCCCCAAAAAATGTCCTACAGCTCAGGGGTTTAGGGTTTAGGGTTAGGGTTTAGGGTTTAGGGTTTGGGGTTTGGGGTTTGGGGTTTGGGGTTTGGGGTTTGGGGTTTGGGGTTTGGGGTTTGGGGTTTGGGGTTTAGGGTTTAGGGTTTAGGGTTTCGGGGCCCTGAGACCTGACCCTGGACAGCGTCAAGCCCCGCCTTCCGCGCGTAGAACTGAGCCCCGGTCATCACCGGCATGGACCCAACACCGTGGAGGAAAGCAAGGTGCTGCAGCCCGAGGATCCTTGAGATCCAGCATGGGCTATTAGGACTTAAAATCCCCATAATGAACCCTATAAAGGGCCCTTTTGTAAGGGATTATAGGGTATAATAGCCCATCCTTGAGCTACTGGAGGATTGGGGTTTTTCGGGGGGGTGACCTACGGATTTGCACGGCTGTTAGGGGCTTGCAGGGAGGGCTTAGGGCTTCGGGGTAACATTTTTGACTCGGATTTTGGCCCATGTTGAACCCTATCATGAAGCCCTACATCCGAAATGCCAAAGCCTCATGGTCGTTGGGGGGGGGAGGAGGGGCAGGAGGGGCGGAGGGGCGGGGGACAAATGTGTGAAAAGCTCATGCCCCCAGCCCTGACTAAAGGCTCAAGGGTTGAAGGTTGAAGGGGGTTACCAGGGCTCTTACACCCTCTAACCCTTAAAAATCGCCCTTTGTAGGGTTGATTATAGGGGTGATAAGGCTCAATAGCCCATCCTGGTTAAGTAAGGGCTGGAAGCCGACATTCTTTGTTCCGACCCTTTAGACACTCAACCCCAGACCCCAGAAGCTGAAGCTGGGTCTCTTGGTATGGGTCTCTGCTGCAAGGTAACGGCGTTTGTTGCGCTTATCAAGACTGCAAAAAAAACATTTTTTGAGCATGGGAATAGCCAGGGTCCAGAGTCAAATGGACGACCTGAGCTCTACAACCCACCCCCCCCCCCGCGCAAAGGTCACCAGCTCTGCAGCGTTCCCTGCTGTTCTGGCAAAAGCTCTCTTCAAAATTGGACACCCTAAAACCTATAAGCCGTGAACTCTGAAATGTCAGCGCCGAGGCGCCAGGCATGAATTTGACGGTCTCCAGAGACAGACAAGTCCAGCGTTCGCCCCATGAAGAGGAGACCTGATGTGCGGCTCAGGAGGTGTTAGGGTTTAGGATTCTAGGGCTAGGACGGTAAGGAGCTGAGGTTTTTGGGGCCCCAAGTAGAGACATGCCCGTGGGCAGACGCGCGGGACGCCTGCCGTTCTTTTGTTCGGTCAGGGACCCAGTGCTTCCCTTGCAAACGCTCGAGGAAACTTCGGGTTTAGGGTTTAGGGTTTAGGGTTTAGGGTTTAGGGTTTAGGGTTTAGGGTTTAGGGTTTAGGGTTTAGGGTGTCGAGCAGGCTGATGTTCGACGTGCAGGGTCTACGCAGGGTTCCGGGGTTTACAGGTTCAGCGGTTGAGGATTCCGATGGTTGGGGTCTCACGTTTGGTTGGGCCACGGTCACTCAACAATCCACGCCATTCTCCCAGGATCTGCATTCCCTCTACAAACCAGACAGCCTGAGTCGAGAAACCTTAAATGGGGGTTTGTGAACGTAAGGAAACCCTTAAATAGACACCCAACTCGCAGGATTCCCTTATAAAATGACCCCCCAATTAGGTACCCATAAACCCTAAACCCTAAACCCTCGAACCCCTAGATCCCAGAGCCCCTGACAGACTGGACTTGCCGCGGAGACGCTGAAGCAGCTCCAGTCGGGATCTTCACGGGCGGTACAGTTCTGGAACGTGGTGGTCATTGGGCCTGGGTTAAGGGCTTTTTGGATGACAAGGCCATCCTTCCGTGTCTGCTGTAAAACCCACAGAAACTTTCAGACATCTACCGATTGCTTGAAGGTTCATGGGCGTTATAAGTACCTTAGATAAGGTACAACCAGTCATAATTATAATAGTTTCTCTACTTTGGATAAAGGCACCTACTGCTCGGCTGCCTCTGTCAAGCTTTTGCAGGGGACCTGCTGATTTCGCCAAAACTCACCGCCAAATCTCCAAACTACCAGGCCTAAACCAGACACCCTCCCCGCCCCCTCTCCCGCTCCCTGCCCCCTGAATAACAAGATAACATGAGGTCACCTGGTACCTCAAAGCTTCCGGACACGTGGCCGTAGATGATGCCGACGCACTCGCGTAAGTTCACCTGATTTTTGCCCAGAGACGCCAAACCCAATTTCAAGCCTAAGAACCGAGCAAAAGCTTAACCCGCAGTGTAGACCCCAAACCTTTAACCCTAAAACACCACTTCCTATACAGGGGTGTCCGAAGATCCCGCCTGCTGGGCCTCCGTGGAATCGTCCTTGGAACGGCCCCACCGCATCTCCAGACCTCGCTCTTTGAGCTATAGGGGGGGCACTTGCAAGTTCAGGGGTACCCTATGGGTGGTTGTCAAACTGATGGTCCCTTTTTGGACATCCCTAAAAACAATACGGCACCTAATGTTTAGGGTACCCCAAAAGGGATCATGATTTTGACAGCCACCCCTATAAGGAAACTATTATAGCTACAACAAGTGCTTGCCTCCTTCGGGTATACTTGCAGCTCGACTTCAACACAACCCATAAACCTTCAATTCGAGGAGTCGAACCTGGGAGTTCCTCAGACCCTCAACAGTTTGGGCGCCAGGGTGCTTTAGGGGCTGAGAGAGACCTACGAAGTTTTAGGCAGGGTCTGTGATCGGTTTCCTAGAAGACCACAGCTCCTGACCCGCCCCAGAGGATCCCAAAGCCCAAACTTTCCCACCAGCCGTGCGGCCATCGTCTGTGACCCAGAAAAACCTCCGCGAGCGCTTCGAATTACCTGCGAAAGGTGTCGCGCCCAAGCTGGCTTTGGAATTCTCTGAGTGAGAAGTACGATTAGACGCCGGTGTACTACTTATGATAATGTGAATTAGTGAGTAAATATAATGCTTAAGTATCATCAGCAAGTTCAAACCACTACACACAAATGTATGTTTTTTACGAACCCATATATGTATGTACACACATACACATAAGCGAAATCAACGCAAAAAAACACTTCACGCCGGTAACCGACGCCCTTCTCAGACAAATCTGAGCATCAACTGAAGCCGAGATGCAAACCCCACTCGCCCTTATCAGATAAATCTGGGCATCAACATGCATCAACTGAAGCCGAGATGCTGTAGTTGTACTTGTGCATGGTGCAACCACTATGCAGGTGCTCCAGCCTTGTGATCGAACAGGGCCAGGCTAGTGTCACTACATAGCACGCGCCACGCGCACGCGCCACGCGCACGCGCCAAGCGCACGCACTACTCGCACGCCCCACGAGCACGTGCCACGGGCGCACACGCACACCCCGAGAGACGCTAAGAAATCAACCCGAAAGTGCTTGAAGTGTCAAGGCTTTGAGCTGCTGCCGCAGTGCAGTCCCTTCATCTTCTTCTCCTCCATGCGGATTGAAGCCTAGCCGCTTGCAGGTGCGCTGTTGGTGGGGGGATCAAGGTTCACAGGGTATAAGCGGGTACAATCGCTTCTTCAGAGTAGGCTTCAGGCTTCGGCTTCGGTGGGAAAGCGTTGAGTGAGTGATGCGGGGAGGGTTTATTTCGGAATCCCCCCACCCCCTCCCCCCGCCCCCATCAAACACTTTGGATTGGGCTTCAATTGGGGAGGCACCAGAGGGGGGGAGGGGGGGGCGGGGAGCCAGAGGGAGGGGGCGGGGGCGGGGGGGGGGAACGGAACGGGGTTGGGGGTCTGCAAACCAGAGACATAAATCTGGACACTCCGAGAAGCCGCAAACCCTTAAACTCTGTCAACCCGTCTGTTCGGTCAGGGTGTTTAACTTTGGAGTCAACCCGACAATCCTATGAGCCCCCTCCCCGCCAAGCCCCAATCTCCAAACCACACACCCCAAACCCCAAACCCCAACCCCCAACCCCCAACCCCCAACCCCCAACCCCCAACCATAAACCCCAAACCCCAAACCCCAAACCCTAAACCCTAAACCCTGAACCTTTGCTTGGGCTTCGGGCCTGAATAGCATCATGCCAACCCTCGGCTTCAGCGTCGCTGTCGGCGGCCAGCAAAAGCCTCTCTTGTTGCGGTTTCGGGTTTAGGGTTTAGGGTTCGGCTTTTCTTACCAGGGAGTTTGGGGCTTGAGGATAGTTTTTGGGCTTGAGAGTTGTAGTTTGTAGGTGGAGACAGAACCCAAAGCCTAAGCAGCATGGAGGTTTCAGGGCTTGGGTTGGGGTTTGCTGGCTTTTGGGGCCACTGGTGGGTTCAGGGTCTAGTGTAAGCAGGGTTCAGGGTTCAGGGATTTTTTTTGGGCAGGGGCTAGGGTTTTTGTTTTTCGTTGCGCGGTTTTGAGGGTTTAGGGTAGGCTTAGGGTTTAGCAGTCTTAGGGTTCTTAGGGCTCTCTAGGTGTTTCTGCATGTGTGAGCTCTCCTGCAGTAACTTTCGTAGATCCAAGGCCCAGTCCTGAATGCAACTCCCAGGCAGGACATTTGTGTAGATTCTTCAAAACGGTGTAGAGTGTACCCTAAGGGTCGATAAACCACATAATTATATACTTGGGCTCAAAAATCCCTGTATAAGAGGTCCTGTTAAGGCCCAAGTACGCCCTATTTAAAGTACATGGACCCTTAGGGGTACAAAGGGTACTGTAAGAAGAAGACATACACAAAAACAGCAGTGGTTATTTAGGGAGACGACCCACCTCAATTCCGCACTGAGCCGCAAAAAAAAACCAAGCCCCCGAACACAGCACGGCCCCCCGAAACCCGAAACCCTAAACCCTAAACCCCAAACCCCAAACCCTAAACCCTAAACCCTAAACTAGGAAGATCGGGTTCAGCCAGGTGGCGCTTGCTCGAAAGGGGCCCGACACTGGAGCCTCGGTGAGGTTTGCTCGATTTTGGATATGCTGGTTTCCTTTTTGGGTGTTCCGATAATGAGGGGTTTAGTATTTTGGGGTTACATTGGGGGCCCACACAAGATACCGGCAGGCTTCTTGGCACTCTACGCTTTGCATCTTTGGACGTCTCAAGCTGACACAGAAGCTATCTGCAAGCCGAGCATCTGCAGAGTGTTCTGCTTGAGCCTGTGGAGGGTGCAAAGAACTGACTAACTCTGTCAAATGTGGGGGGTGTAGCGTCTGCAGGGTTTTGAGGGCTTGTAGGGCTTTGAGGGGGTTTCGGCTGTAGGGCCCTGCTATCTAGGAGAAAGGAATGTATATTCAATGTATATTTGGGTACGGGACGATCATGTCGGCAATTGTTGAGGCCCTGCGTTGCCGTTTTATGGGTTATTTGCACCTGCTAACTGATGGGCATCTACTACGATGCTCTAGGAAAAAAAGAGCTACCAGCAGGCGTCGGCCGGGTTCTGTCTTGGTGTTGACTGATGGCGATTCGTACGGACTTACGGAAGGAATCAGGAACCTGACCTCCTGTGACGGACTACATGCAGGGCACCTATAGTCCCCTCCAAAGAACTGTCGCGAGTCTACTGCTACATGTGGCGGTTGCAGTTGCTAACCCCTCTCTGTATCAGATCCGCCACACAAGAAACCAGCCCGAGTGTGAGCCAGAAGAGTAAAGGCACCACAAAAATACCAAGTACATGATTTAAAGCTTAACCAGGATGAGCTATAAGGCCTTATAACCCTACGAAGAGCTTTTGTTTAAGGGGTTATGGGGTCTAACTATAAGATTAGGGCAACAGGTTTAGGGCTTAGCATCGAAGTTGCGTCACTTGCGTGCCGCTGGCAGCCACATGCAGTGCGCCCAGGTCCGTTCCTTTCCTTGGCCGCGGACCAACACTTGCCAGACCCTAAACCCTAAACCCTAAACCCTAAAGCCAAACCCTAAACCCTAAAGCCAAACCCTAAACCCTAAGCCGCCCGTTTTTCGGCTACGATTGCGAGGGAGGCACCCCGATATGTATGCGGTTGGAACCTACTAATTTGTGGGGTCTGGGTGGCACTGGTTTGAACAGCACTCCGGTCCAACGACGGAGAGCACACAATTCTGCGGTTTAGGGCTGCGTCGGGGGTTTTAACGTTTCAGGGGTTTAGGCTTGTCGCGTGACGGCCCTAAGTAGGGCATGGGAACGCAAGCGCAGCTATAAAGCGTATCCCTTACATAACGCACATTGCAGGACAGAGTCTGATATGCAGCACTTCATTCCTGGAACGCCGGGTTCTCGAATGCCGGATAACACAGCACAAACACACAGAGCTCAATGCTGTCACAGAGGCGGGCCCGTGCGGATTCGGAGCACGCCGTCTCTAAGGACAAAGTAGGGTCGAGCACCATACTCCCCGCCTAGGAGATCAGTGACAGGGAGCCCTATACGCGAGACCGCTAAACCCGAATTAAACCTTTCACACCAAACCCTTTATGACCCTGAACTCATGATGAAGCCCTATAAGCCCGATTCAGGGAGTCAACGGAGGTGCACCATGGCCGGACGCAAATCACATGATGCGAAGTCACTTCGGGCTGCAGCTCATGGTTTAAGGCTGAATCGACCAGCCATATCTAGAGTCTGTCATCTGTGTTGGCCCCAGCCTCAAAACCACAAAGACCAAATCAGACCAAACCGGGGGGCGGGGGGGGGCGGGGGGGGGCGGGGGGGGGCGGGGGGGACCCTAAACCCTAAACCCTAAGCCGAGCGCCGTACTGCTTGCATGTTCATTCTGCAGGTATCCCCGGTGCTCGATGGACGTCCGAGCTCTGCCATTGGTCGTCATGCCTGGGAGGGGAAACTTGAAGGTTCTTTCGGGTAGTCATAAAGTGGATTTAGGGTTTAGGGGTTTAGGGTTTAGGGTTTAGAGTTTAGGGCTTGGGGTACTTGAAGCTTCACGAGTAGTTGGAAGTAGGGCTATAAGCGCTGTACCCTGAATAAGGTTCTAAGCAGTTAGAACCCTAGTTATACTTAGAGCCCCACTTTTTGCTACCCGCCAACCTCCACGCAGCCGGGCTTCAGGGTCGTCCGATTTTTTTATGGCTCGGGGTTGAGGGCTGCGTGCCCCTGAGCCTTCCTTTCTAGCAAGCCCCACCCGAATCCTCGCTGCATCCCCAAATTGTCCCTGATCCTCCGTGTTTTGGGGGTCGCAGGGACATGTACCCTCCAAGTTGGAGAACGACCATACGGCTTTCGAAACGGCAATGTGCTTCTACATCCAAAGCCCATAAGTCTTTTCTGGCTTGGCACTACCTTCAATTATCTAAGCGTACTCATTATGAGTTGAGGGTGTCCCAAATTAAAGGGAGTTCTAGGTCTAACCCCCTGAACAACTTCGCTTTGCGGCTTCCTGGGGCCTTGCAATTGGATGCCCGAATTGATGGTGCAGAGCTTGGGCTTTCCGGGCGCGTCCAAGTATATTCAAAACATGAGCAGGCTGCCGTAGAAATACGCTGTGGGCAGGTCAGATCCTAAAACCTCAGCCCTAGACTCTGAACCCAAAAAACCCTGAAACTTCCAGGGTTTAGGATTTAAACCCTAAACCCTAAACCCTAAACCCTGTACCCTAAAACTTCCAGGGTTTAGCTTGGATCGCAAGCGGAAGGACGAGCGGCTGGCGAGCACAAAGGCAACGCCCGCAGGAGACCGGAGGCGGCTCAATTCCCGTCTTAATTCAGGGGTTTAGGGTTTAGGGTTTAGGGTTTAGGGCTTAGGGTTTAGGGTTTAGGGCTTAGGGCTTAGGGTTTAGGGTTTAAGGTTTAGGGTGTGGGGCTGGATCAACGCTGAGGCGCCGGGGTTCAAGGTATGGGTTTTTGGTGGCCTGTTAGA